GTATGACAACAGTTTGATATCAATTAGAGAACCACTGGAAACCAGTGCTAGAGTACTGAACAGTCGTTTCATCCCTATTTGGAACTCTCCGACAGTACCCACCTATCAGGGTTAGAGTCCAAGGACTTCCAGTTGCAAGGGGAGATCGTAGACCATTCATCTGCTGGGACTCGACTCCTAACGTCTACCAGTTCGTGATTTTAGTGCGACTAGCACTATCCAATGTTGTCGGTGGCAACTATGTATCCTCACTCCCGACCGGACGGTCCTCACTGGTTATGGTTTCTGCTTAGAAATGTACCCCACTTCCCCCCCCCTGTAGCCAGTCACTGGCGAGCATCACACTAATTTTCATGAGTTTATTTGTATGAATTTGAGATACTTTTCAAGTCTGACGAAGGATTGATGTTGGTTAGGGAGCCACTTAAAAGCCAGGTATAATTTTTAATCTGTAAAGCGTCTCAGTTCAGTAATCTTCTATTTGACGAATTATCTCTTATTATCATGGTTTAATGTAGTCATTTATGTCATTGTCGAAGACTCAGTCCATAACCTGACCTAATTTACTAAAGAATAGTAAGCCGAGGAAGGTTTGGCGTGAGACTAGCAATCCCGACTAGTTGAAGCAAGAAGACTGTTGGAGTTCTTACATTCTCCTCAGAGCGGATAGGAATAATAATAGTAATACATTTATTCCTATATATATGTAGGACACAGTAGTTTTACAGGCATGGATAAGTATTATTTAAATTACATAAATTTGATTAGTTGTGTAATTACGTGGTTGCTGTCCTTTTTGACTTTAGCTTGTGGCTATAGTCTGCTAACTAGTCATTCAATGGAACACATTAGAGAAATATAGAGATATTGTCTTCGCATTAACAAAAAAAAACGCAAGTATGTGTTTGATGTACAATTGGTGGATGGTGGCTAGCAGTGGAATCCAGGATAAAGCGCATTTCGTCCTATTTGGGACTCGTCAGCTAACTGGATGTACCTGCATTTCTCAGTGAGTGATGACGTTCCCACCGAAGCTCGAACCCAGTACCCATAGTTTCAAACGCCAACCAAAGCGTTATCCACTAGACCACTTGGGTCAAGAGAGTCACCTCTTGTGCAACGGGTCATATTAATTATTGAATTGAATTTTTGATTTTCCTGTCGACATGTCAACCTGAGACCGAGCACTTCGGTCCAAACAATCGACAGGAAAATTAAAAATTCAATTCAATATGTGTTTGATGGATTAGAAATACTTGGAAAAAATAATAAAGCTTGAAGTCAGTTCCTCCATATAACTTTGACGTGTGCGGCATCGTATCTTGTTCTTGATAATATAATATATATATATTCAAATTGAATATTAATTCCAAATAAGTGATGTAGTTGTATAATTTTGTAAGCATTTCCATCGTAAGTAACACCAGAAATGAGTTGTACTCACTGCAGATTAATACTGACTGGTTGGTTGGTCATTGTCAGGCAGGTTTATTTTACCGCATTTTTTTTTGCTGTATGATTGTTCCGTACTAGAAAGTTGATTAACACGTAGAAAGTGATTTGTAAACCATTTTAGATATATTTCAGTAGACAGTATAATAATAATAATTTTTGCTTTATTCCAAGAACAGTACTAATGATGCAGCAAGGAATTTTCAGCATTCAGTACAATATTGCATCTATTTACTCAAAAACGACAAAAAAAAAAATTAAAAATACACATGACATAATAGTAATAAAACGATTGTTATAGCAGGTACGTAGCAAAATACTGTATGCCATACGGAGAAAAATATGCATAAAGTACAACATTGTAGTAATAATAGTAATACCAACTAATATAAAATAGCAGAGTAACGATTTAAACGATAGAAAGTGTGACACCATAAAATACAGAAAGATGAAACGATAAAAGGGTCGATTCACTGTGCTAATTACATAGTAACTTGTAAGTTTCACGTCTAACAGAGTCTTCGTCACATAAAGTACGGGCTAAATAGGGTATTGTAGAATTTCTATACTTAGTGGTACGAGCATATAACTTGTTATATTGACTTCTCGTCCTACCTGATGAGATACAAGGGGACAGGTGTGAATAAAGGGGGTGCAGAGGGTCTGACATTATAGCCTTTGCCCATTTCGTACAGGAATTTATATGCCTCTCGACTATAGTATTGGCGAGCTCACGCAGTTGCAGACCACAAGCCCTACTCACAGCATTCAATACTCTTCGTAATATGATATAATCTTTTTCGAGAAGCCCAGGAAAGATTAATGGAAAGCGATAGAGTACAATAGGTAAAATACAGGAGTTTAAAAATTGCAAAACTAAAGGTTGGTTGATACCTGATTGTCTTAACTTTTTAATGTAGAAGGTAAGACGAAACATTTTCTTAGAGATAGATAAGATGTGGGATGTGGACCATGAAAGGTCAGAGAGGAAAGAACTAATCCAAGGTATTTAATGTCATTAAAGTAATTTCACCCAGCGACCATATTGATGACACAGTTTCGAAAAAATAAAGAGTCGCCAAAGTGGTTATTTTGTAGTCTCTTATGTAGCATAGTATCAAAAAAGGTTAAAGTATGTCAAATTTTTAAAAAAATTTTTCATGGCTTTAAAAAGCCGTATAAAAAATTAGACGGTTAATAATAATAATAACAATATCAGCTTTATGCCAAACATTATTTGTGGTACAGGTATGCAATTCGCAGCGTGCATTACAATATATTACATCTAATTACCTCATTAATTTTATAACATTTTAAAGTCAAAAACGCGACAAGCAAAAACAAAATAGAGAAATAAGAAGAAATAAAAAGAACAGAGTTGCGTTCACATTTTAAACAATGCGTCACAAGATATGAAATATAAAATTGGTGTGTAATAGAATATGAGAACAACAGTGTAATACTAACGAAGAAAGGAAAGCAAAAGCTAATCGGACTATTTGGTAGAGTGCCGCAGTAAGTTTATTGTGTCATACCTAACGGATTTCTCATCACATAACAGCTGTGCCAGATATGGTATTGTGGAGTTTTTGTACTTGGTAGTCCTAGCATATAGCCAGCCTCCTATAGCTGCTTCTAGTTCTACCAGATGAAATGCAAGGAGAGAGCTACGTATAGAGAGTATGCTCGGGGTCTGACAATATAGTATTTGCCAGTTTCTTACATGACATTATATGTCTATCCACAATAGTGTTAACCAGTTGGTTTAACAATATCCCACTTGCCCTACTAACAGCTTTTAGTGCCTTCTCAGCAAAGCAAAGTCTTTCTTAAGTAGTTCAGGAAAGATTAATGGGGAGCAGTAAATGGGGATGGGTAGAATACAAGAATTGACAAACTGAGAAATCAAAGACTGCTTTATGCCAGATCGCCTAAATTTCCTAATGTAGAACGTTAAGTGAAACATCTTTCTAGTAACTAGCAAAATGTGGGAGGACCAGGAAAGATCGGTGGAAAAACTCAGCCCAAGGTACTTGACATTAGATGCATTTTCAACCTCTATGCCGTCAATGATAGTGGGGTCGTGAGAGCTAACTAGTCGCTGTAGGTCACGTTTATGTCTGAAAGTGAAATTGACTACCTGACATTTAGCCGGACTAAGCTTAAGTCCGTTTGAAGAGGACCACTGACTAATTTCCGACAGAAAGGTATTTAATTTGGAACAATCTGACTGAGAGTTGACAGGCATAGAAACAGAGAGATCATTAGCATATTTAACAAAAGTGGCTTCATCAGAATGGGGCAAGTCATGTAAGAAAAAAGAAAACAGAAAAGGAGAAAGAACAGCACCTTGAGGAACATCAGCTAAAGTAAGCGATGTAGTGGAGGACTTTCCATTGTAGGCAGTGTACAACTTCCTATCAGAAATATTGGAATGCACCCAATTGTTTGGCTCAGAACATTCAGCCTTATATGTTGATAGGTGAATTAGAAGAATATGCGATATTCAAATATTATACTTCAACACTTATTTTGACTTGCAATAACCCAAAAACATTATGCCGAAGAAAGTAGAGATGGATGGGATATACACTGTGGAGATAGTTGAATGAAATCTTACGCCAGGCCAAACTTTGACTGATGCCCGAATAGGAAACAATGAGTTGAGTGTCACTTCGACGGTGATATAAGAGGAGGTAGTATTGTGGTTAGAGCTGGCTACTATCCAAAATCGGTAGACAGTATTTTACGTCAATGTTTATATCCCAAATATTGGTCTCGAGATTAAATATGAACAAAGACATTGCGTAGGTGGATACAGTTAACATATAGATGATCTGTGACATTCAAGAAACAGTCACAAAGAGATGAAAGGTTAACTTTCTGTAAGAAACAACCACCAATCAGAAGACTGTGTTGTTTTTCCGCTAACAATAACGCTAATAATAATGTACATGAAAATCTATAAACACCTCTTGATTTCCTTAATAAACGATCTGCTGCCTGACCCTGGTCTTCTGTTGTTACGGTATCACGAGGTGGAAATAAAAGCGTATGAATATTCGTGTGATCAGTTAAAAGTGGCTCCAGAGATATGGACGCTGCTGAAGCCCTACACACTCCTCTGAACATAGGGGAATAATAATAATAATAAATTTGACCTCATATTGCGAAAAGGTATATACCACCTAGACTTAGTAATAATTTCATATCTGGATGGGGTTGCTAGTCTTTTCACTTGGCGGCTTAGTGCCGGCTTAGAGAAGTTTAGAAGTGTGTCAGTGATTCGAGGATTGAATTCCCAACCACATCAGGATTGACTGCCTAGAGTTTTACTGCTGAATTATAAAAATCTCCTGGAGGTTGTCTGTTATTGTAACTCATAGACAGTTTTTGAACACAGCTTAAAATGATCCAATAGAATGACAACCACTCAGACGTTGAAAAATATCAACGAATAACCCTAGCGATACGTTGGTTTACCGGTCGAGTCCTAGAAAGGAGACAAGACACTTCATTCGTGAAAATCGATTTTATTCTGTGCACACATAATCAATAAATCAAAAAGTTAAAAAATAAAGATGAAATCAAAAAGTAATAGAAGAAAATTTGATGACACTGGGATCTGGTTGTTTTTTTTTTTTGAGGGTTGAGGGTTTTAGCGGGTAGAGGGAAGATTCAATCTGCCTTCCAGGGGATATCACATAGCCAGTATATTGACACAGGATGCGTAAGGCATTGAGGTGGTTGAAGGGATTTATTCATCAATAATTGTCAGCTGAATCGATTGATTTTGTCGAAATAATTCTTGCATTTGATCAATATCTATCTGTTTACAATCGATTCCATTCACTTGGATAATTTCATCACCAATACGCAGGGAACTTGAATTATTGAGAATTAATCGCACCGTTAAACGTGTTACACGATAACCTGAATTTTTAAAAAAAAAAATGGAATATATAGAATGCACAGCATGACTACGAGTAATATGCATGGTTTATAGAGTAAATGAAATATAACGAAATGATCGATTTTGGTGTGGATTTTGATCTGTTTCACTTTAGTTTGCGTTTTTTTCAGCTAGTCACACGTATGACTCCTCCAGGGTCCGAACTCATTACCATCGATTAGTGAATATCACCTCCTGCTCACTGATACCTACAGAATAGGTGTCCTGAGAAGTTATGAACCGTGGGGTGCGCCATATCAGAGGTAAGGTTTTCACCCATCGATACTCATGTTCAGTGGGGACGTTGTGTCTCCAATTCATAGATGTTTGGATTCACAAATCATTGAATTTCAACTCCACAGGGAAATGTGCAGTCTGAAGGTTCTGTATTTGATGCTTGACCGGGTAGCTAGTGCACACTTCTGAATAGTTCCTGACTTGAAAGTAAGAGATGTCCAGTACTTCAAGGTTTTCAATCATTCCCTAAATGATATCGGTTCATGACGAAATATCAGCTGAACGCTGGCGTTTTCCTGAATAATATATTAAAGTAACAGTTGTTTTTGAGAAATCGTGACCAGTGAGTTACAGCAGATTGGGTGTGAGGACAAATACTCGCCGCCGATGGGATTGGCCAGTCCTTGTGCTATATCTTGAATTAGAGGAATTAGGTATCCATGGGATACGATCTCGCCTTGTAATCTGGAGGTACTAGATTCGAACTGTGGCGGTGGGTGCGTACCACTCAATAGTCTGAAACTAGGCTGACGAAACAGTTGTCTGGCGGCGCTCCCTGCCTAGCGGTTTTCCAATAGCTCTCTAACTGATATCAGCTCATGATGATATCCTGTAACCAAGCAATTTCCTGTAAAACAACATTTGAATTGTAACTCTGTTAGAAATCAAGTGGACTGGATCCTTTGATAAAAATCATACGTACGCATAGAGAGGCACATGGTTTTTAAATTAATAAAAAATATTATCCATAAACTTCAGGGTGTCAGCGAATTCATGGACCACGCCGTCATAATTTACAGTTGTCTGTCAAATGTCTACACATGACTGACAAACTCTTGAGAAGTGAACTAGCTCTCAATCTTTTAGCTTGGCATTTCTTTCTGACCGTCTCACTGACTGACTGGTTTAAACATAGAACTTTGCGCCGATGTGCAGCAGTTCGAGTCGCCACACTCCATGTGGCACACAAAGCAAGAGAGGAAAGTAAAAAGAAACGCAAAATAGAGACAGTAAACAGGAATATGAGACAAAAAGAATAGTAATAACGATGGGCAATATAGTTTCATTGGGTATTAGAAGTTCACAAGGAGTGAATTTATCTGCGCTAGCGATTGAGGACGATTTTGAGCTATATCACCAATTGTCTCGAGCCGTCATTGGTTTTTGCCATCCCGAGGAACCCAACGAAGAAGTCTTTACCCCCCCCCCTGCGTGACTGCCAAGTTAAACCAACTGTTGTGGGTCTGATTGACTGATGAAGCGATGTTTTAGTTTGACAACCACTGGCTAACTCTTTTCTAGCCTGATCCATCCTACGTCAGCTAATATTGCCCGTCGATCAAGGAGGGCGATCGCTAGGCTAGGCATGCGTAACACATGTCCTAACTATCTCAATCTATACAACTGCTTTACAGCCTCGGCGATTGATTTCCCCTCCCTCCTTACCCGAGCACTTGACTTACGCCTAATCTCAATATTGCTCACCCTATTATATCACCACCTAACACGGGAGATAGAAAGCAGACACCTATGTTCAAAGACAGCTAGCCGGTGTTTTCATATCTCCCACTATCAATAGCCAGGTCTAACAGCCGTAAAGCATTTCTTCCAGTAAAACTCCATTGTGTTTCGATGTAGTAACCTAAATGCCCAAAATGGAAGAAGATATTTGCAAAGTGCAGTTCCCCTTTGGATACAGGGTAATTTCGTCATGATTTCTGAATCCTTCAAAGTATTAAACAATACAAAGGAGAGCAAGCCTAATACCATTGATTGAAGCAATTACATACCAAACTTATGCACATACAGAAAGAGAGTGTATGTCAATCTCTGACTCACTGCCTTGGCAACTACAGCATTTCGATTACATTGGTTAGTCTCATTCATATTAGTGATTTCAACTCACTGAGTAAGTTTTCAATCTATAAAATTTCTTCAGTTGCTATGTGGACTTACAAGCTAACACCTGTTTTCCGTCTTCTCTCCCATCCCACCTCTTACTTTTCTATATTCTTTTGTACCGCTTATATTTCAGATGCGTTAATTTTATAACGTTTCCTCTACTATCCATTCAAACTATGAAGTATATTATTGTCACTTTTATTAACCGCTGTAGTTTCAGGTAGTTGTCTGCAGTTGTTTTTTAATTTATTTTTTTTTGATTACAGCTTGATTCCACACTGTATTTTTGGTACAAGTATGGAATTTTCAGCGTGGATATCGGCAGCCCAAATTTTGCAGGCCGACCATAGATATCAGGTGTGCGTCGGTCGCAATCTACGAATGTTTGGCATGCGATTCGCTCCCGCCAAATGCAAGATGATGTTACAGGACTGGACTACATCGACGCCTAGTTTAAAAATAGGAAGTGAAGTGGTAGAGCACGTTGACCGCTTCACTTATTTGGGAAGTACCATCAGCCAGTGACAACGGGCTGATCTCTGACGAAATCTCAGCACGAATACAGGGGGCTCGTTTCACATTTGCCAGTTTACGCCGACTCTGGCGTAGACGAGATATTCGACTATCGACCAAAGGGAGGGTGCACTGCTCATCAGTGCGCACCGTCCTCCTTTATGGTTGTGAGACCTGGCCACTGAGAGTGGAAGATATGAAAAGACTAGCTGTCTTTGATCATAGGTGCCTGCCTTCTATCTCCCGTGTAAAGTGGCATAATAAGGTGAGCAACATTGAGGTTAGGCGTCGAGTTCTAGGTAAACAGGGGAGATCAATCGACGAAGTCGTGAAGTTACAAAGACTGAGATGGTTAGGACATGTGTTACGTATGCCAAGCCATCGCCTCCCTCGACAATGGGCAATGTTAGCGGATATAGGGTCAGGCTGGAAAAAAGCTAGCGGCGGTCAAACAAAAACTTGGCCTCACCAGTCAATGAAATCCACAACAGTTGGTCTAAGCCACGTAGAAAGGTGTAGACTTCCAGGCTGGGGTCCTCGGGACGGTAAAAATCTATGGTTGGAAACAATTGGTGACATGGCTCAAAATCGTTCTCAGTGGCTAGCGCAGATGCATCCACTCCTTGTGACTTATGATCTCCAATGAAACTGTTTTGTTTTTCTTTATTACTCCTTTGTCTCACACCTCTGTTTACTGTTTCTATTATGCTTTTCTTGTACTTTCTTCTCTTGCTTCGCGTGCTACACGGAGGGAGTGTGGCGACTTGAACTTCCGCACATTTGTGCAAAGTTCTATGTCGAAAACAGACAGACAGGTGTGCGTCGGCATGGGCTCGAACCCCGGACCATGTGCATGGTCGGCGAGAGTCCTAACCACTGTGCCACCGATGAGTACTTGTGAATTAGGATGATATCATGTTATACCACAAATCCGGTCTTTCTTTCCATTCTCTCTATCACCGATTTCAGTTTCAAGTTCGATCATAGACTGATATCACTGGACAGCTGTTTCATCCTAATTTGGGACTCGTCATCCATACTCACCCGTCAGGTTTCGAACTCAGCACCTTCCAGTTACAAGTCGAACTCGTACACTACTGGAGCCGGACTCAATGGCTCCTAACAATTCGTTATTCTAAGGCGACTGCGAGCCAATATCACCAGTGAGTGATTGTTCTCACTCCCAAGGGGTTGGACAACACATATCACGACGTCTCGCTACAGATGCAGGCAACTTTGTGCTTGAACCAGTCACTGTTTTGTTCTTTACTTTTATTGGAGGCATGGCTCATTCTTCGAATCTAACGATGAAGGTGAAATTGATTCATAGTTCCGACATTGCTACGAAAAACTTCTGTGTGGATTATTCCAGATGGCCAGCTTCATTTAGGCTTTAAAGAAGGGATTTACTCACAAATTAGCGCCCGAATTATGCATAAATGGTTCTTAAAAACTTTAAATGGTATGAACTTAGGAGAAAATGCTTAGATGAAATTACAGTTAACATGAAATTCACTCACCCAGGTTAGATTTTGTAACAAATAAACCGAATGTACTATCTTGACTAGATTTTGATAAGGTGACATATCGTAGAGAATTTGAGGAATTAGAATCGGTGTGGACAAGGTCAACATTCTCATCATTTCCATTGTAACCTTCATCTAATGAAGGTACTATTAAGGATGTAACCTTATCCGAGGGTACAAAGCATTGATCATCACATTGTGATTCGTATTTAGTTTCATCAACATCTGAAGAAGAGTTTGACACAATTGAGGTAGATGAATTCGAAGGTTTCAGCATATCCCGTATAGTGCCAAGGGTACGTCTTGCAGATCGTCTAATGACATTTAACATATTTGGTTTGTTATGATTTGAGCTGTCATTCATTTGGCTATAGGGTTTAGATATCTTTGAACTTCCTGTACTATTACGACGAATAAATTGTTTTGTTACACTTTTAGTGAATTTGTTATGATATTTCATTGTAAGACTTCGTCTCTTGGTTGTAGGGGCTTGATTTGAATCGCAGTTGATATGAGGAGAGTTGACGGTTGAATCAGTTGTTTCATTAATGTGGATTGTTTCTGATGTATGTTCTGAAGATTTATGGTACCTGTTAATTTTTGTAGGGTAAGTGAAAAATACGTTGCAGTTTTAAGCCGACGCAGTATAACAAAAGATTGATGAAAGACTCAAAGGTACAGTAAAAAAAAAAGAAGCTTCCTACCTGCACCTAAACTCGTAACATTATACATCACCAATTCTTCTATAATAAGCTGCTCGAAACTGGATAAATACCCTGCTGATGTCACCTCCAACTACGTTTATAAATTTACGTGCACTTGAGAGAGCAAGTACATACAAAAGGACATTAATAAGGGCTTCTATCCGGTTTCCTGAGCATATTCCAAGAAATCTGTGTCTGAAAGAAAGCAAATATTCTCAGAGTGCACTTACCAGACACACTGTTGATACTGGACATCTCGTAGAGATTTCTAAGTCCTTCAAAATATTTAACAGACAAAGGATAGCAAATTTACTTCGATCTACTGAAGTGATCGCATTCAAATGATTCAAACCAACCAGACTTATGCATACAGAGAGAGAGAGTGAGTGTGTGTGTGTGTGATTAACCTCTCTCTCTCCCGTGGTAACTAAATTTTAATTTTGATTACATTAATAGTCATCTAATTCAGTGATCTCAACTCACTGAACAATTCTCAACCTTACAAACTCTAACCACTTTCGTTTTTCTTTTTTCGAGTTGCTATGTTGACGTTGTTTGTTAATTTTTTCTGTTTTCTGTCTTACCCCTCCTCCCTCTTTTCTACTATGAAAGCGTACAAATTGATGATGAAAACTTAAACTAAAAATTGTGATACAATTGGTGGATGGTGGCTAGCAGTGGAATCCAGGATAACGCGCATTTCGGCCTATTTGGGACTCGTCAGCTGGATGTACCTGCATTTCTCAGTGAGTGATGATGTTCCCACCGAGGCTCGAACCCAGTGCCCATAGTTTCAAACGCCAAAGCGTTATCCACTAGACCACTTGGGCCACGAGAGCCACTGTCTCTTGTGCAACGGGTCATATTAATTATTGAATTGAATTTTTGATTTTCCCGTCGATTGATTGGACCGAAGTGCTCGGTCTCAGGTGACCCGTTGCACAAGAGGTGGCGGCTCTCGTGGCCCAAGTGGTCTAGTGGATAACGCTTTGGCGTTTGAAACTATGGGCACTGGGTTCGAGCCTCAGGGGGAACATCATCACTCACTGAGAAATGCAGGTACATCCAGCTGACGAGTCCCGAATAGGGCGAAATGCACGTTATCCTGGATTCCACTGCTAGCCACCATCCACCAATTGTATACAAATCAAATCCCCAGACATCGTCGAAGCATCTGCACAAGAAGCCGACATGTCAACCTGAGACCGAGCACTTCGGTCCAATCAATCGACGGGAAAATCAAAAATTCAGTTCAATAAAAATTGTAATCCCTACATTTTAGATGCATCACTTTCATAGTATTTCTTCTGTACTATCACTTAAACATTAAAGTATGTTTTTATCGTCTATATTACCGCAGTAATTTCAGGTAGGGGTGTGCAGCTGATGAGAACCTATGAAATAGAATGACGATATCATTTCATACAACAAATTTCGCCTTGCTTTCTTTATCGAAAATTTAGCAGGGAAACTAAATGTTTGAAGATCAAATGTGTTGTGTAATTCTGGCCAACACACTTATAAAGAAGGAATGTAGAGTGTTGAAAGACTTAGTCTAATTGGCGAAGCATATCTTCAATATTAATGTTTACTCAGTGACTGCTTCCAGTGTAGCTCAGGCGCTTGGAGAATCATATAACTAGGAAGAACTAAGCTCCAATTAACTACAGCAATGAATCAACCAGAAACCTTCTGCTCAATAAGTATGCTGAAAGGAGTGGAAAGGAATTAGAAATACGTGTATGGCACTATCAAGTAACATTACTCGCTAGACCGTGAGTCGAATTCGAATACGGAAATGATGAGTTGAGCGTTTTTCTTGGTGTGACACGGAGGAAATCATGTGTGACGTGGAGAAGGTAGAGTTGAAAGTTTATAGGCCATCGAGGGATCAGCCAAAAGTAACTGTAGAACACAGAGTAAAATGTAGTTGTGCTTTTGAAGCCGACATCACACTTTGAACTTAAGGGGACAATAATTATCTGTTACCCTTGGGGTTAATTAATCTTTTAAATGTATATGTTACTACATATGACGGTAAATTTCACTAGATTTCAATACAGTGATCTATCCGTCTGTCTCCTAATTCATACAAAGGGATTTGCAGTGCAGAACAACACTTTTGTAGTGAGTGCGCTCTGCTGAATAGTCCCAAGCTAAGACGAAACAGCTGTCCGGACCTCCCTGGTACTGCATCGTCACTGAAATCAATCCAGACCCCTACAAAAACCCACAATCTAAATAATAATCTCCAACCGACTGGCGGCTACTTGAATGTTCTTCTGAATCTGTAGCAATAAGTTGTCACCAGTGGGGTCCATTAGGTCAAGTGAAGTGTGTGCTCATTGAATGTCTCGGTTAACGGTAGTGCTGTACCACAAGCTGACAAATTTAGGATACACAGTTCAATGACTTCCCACCCAAGTGGTTAAACTGGTCCACATGACTGTTCTAATAACCTGAAGGTTACAGATTTGACATGTATAAGAATCGTTGGTGAATACTGTTGTTGAGTTCTTATCTAAGATGAACATATATCTAATACAAAATATATATGAACGACCATCTTACCCATTCACATAGCTGGGACATGATGTAATGGAAGAGTTATCACTACATTTTCGTTTCGCTGGTGATAAATCTATAACAGAAAGATAAAAATTCTTATAATAATTAATTTTTAATACCATCTACCCACATCATTTATAATATTTAAAATTGATTTTATTTTCAAGTGAACCAAACTATATAAGAACAAGCTTGGGATTCTTAACACCAATGTGTAGTCAGTCAGTTCTTCTATACGGGACTGAGATGGTTAGGACATGTGTTACGTATGCCAAGCCATCGCCTCCCTCGACAATGGGCAATGTTAGCGGATATAGGGTCAGGCTGGAAAAGTGAGAGCTAGCGGCGGTCAAACAAAAACTTGGCCTCACCAGTCAATGAAATCCACAACAGTTGGTCTTAGCCACGTAGGAAGGTGTAGACTTCCAGGCTGGGGTCCTCGGAGCGGTAAAAACAAATGGTTGGAAACAATTGGTGACATGGCTCAAAATCGTTCTCAGTGGCTGGCTAGCGCAGATGCATCCATTCCTTGTGACTTATGATCTCCAATGAAACTGTTTTGTTTTTCTTTATTACTCCTCCTTTGTCTCACACCTCTGCTCACTGTTTCTATTATGCTTTTCTTGTACTTTCTTCTCTTGCTTCGCGTGCTACACGGAATGTGGCGACTTGAACTTCCGCACATTTGTGTAAAGTTCTATGTCGAAAACAGACAGACAGACAGTCGGAACGGACAAAGATATCAGAGCAGACCAGAATCGGAAAGGCAAGACAGACCTTGATCAGTTTGAATACAGTTTGTAAATCTTCTGCCTCATACCACCTCAGAATAAAAACAACAAGAAGATTCGGATTCTGTTCAACACAAGTGTGAAGTCAATCAGTCACTTCTTCTATACACGTCAGAAATTTGGACTGAGCATGAGTCATTAGAAGAATTTCCAATAACCAGATGCAAACTTTCACCAACAGCTACACATTTCGCTGACTGGCTGTATACTTCAGATCAAATGGATGGCCGATGAGAAAGAATTAACAACAAGAGACTCTGGAAACAACGAAGCAATTAAGTGGTGATTGTTCAATAAATATGTAGGAGAAAGTGGAGATAGATACAGCACAAGCTGAGGAGGGCGTCGGATTCAGTGTAAACCATCGCTTGAGTGTAATCCAAATAGAATGTGACGAGTGAGTCGTCGGTGTGAGAGTGACATGGAGAAGATCGTTTGTGGAGGAGAAGATGGGAGAGTTTGGTCAATCATCGACCCAGATGAATAGGACGATAGAAAACAAAACAAAGTGGAGATGTGGAGCTGAGTTTCTATGATGAATGTTTGCTAGCAATAATCGGAATATATTCTGCATAAGTTTTGTGCTCGTCGGCTTGCATCATCGAGACATATCCTCCAGCCGATCTAACTCTCATCTTACTGGCTTCAAATAGATAACCATATATATATTGTATTAGCACCAACGGACTGATTGGCGATGAAATCTCAGCACGGATCCGAAAAGCTCGAGCTGCTTTCGCTGACTTACACCATCTCTGGCGTAGGCGTGACATCCGGTTATCAACCAAGGGACGTGTGTACTGCTCATCAGTTCGCTCCGTCCTTCTCTATGGCTCTGAAACATGGCCAATACGCGTTGAAGACATGAAAAGGTTGACTGCTTTCGATCATAGATGTCTGCGATCTCTGTCTCACGTTAGGTGGTTTAATAAGGTAAGTAATGTTGACGTTAGGCGTAGAGTGTTGGGCAAAGAGGGAAAATCAATCGACGAGGCCATAAAGTTACATAGACTGAGATGGCTAGGTCACGTGCTGTGCATGCCTAACCACCGCCTCCCCCGACGACGGGCATTGCTAGCTGATATAGATGCAGGTTGGAAAAGAGTAAGTGGTGGCCAAACAAAAACAAGGCATCAGTCCATGAAATCCTTGACAGTTAAACTGAGTCAGGTAGGGAGATGCAGACTTCCGGGTTGAGGGCCTCGGGACTCTAGGAATCAATGGCTGGAGACAATAGGTGACATGGCTCAAAATCGTTGTCAATGGCCAGAGCAGATGTATTCAGTCTCTGTAATCTTTCATATTCCTTTCTACCATTACCCATTCTGTTTCACTCTTATACTTGTCAGACTGTATTGATTCTCTTCACTCATCTTCTTGTCTACCTCTGTGTGCTATTTGGAACGTGGCAACTCGGACTGGTGCACTTCGGTGCCAAGTTCTATGTTGAATCCAGACCAGACCAGAGACCATGCTATATATCGTAAACTGGCTGAACTTGGGCTTCAAGGGCCAATGGATCGGTTCCCAATGGCTAAAGGTTATGTGAACTCACCTTGTAGCTGGAGGGGGGGGCTATACGTTTTAAGGTCGGTGGATATCAAGTGCTGAAGAAACAGTTGTGCAGTACTTGTTACTGGTTTTCCGATGGTTCTCTGACTGATGTCAGCTTGTGGTCTAACCTGTAAGTATAACGTCCTAGTATAGAAGCACTATCTATTATCACCGATGATATTCTTAACTGTGATGGACTGGATTATGAGTCAGACTGTGGGGAGAGAGGAGACAGGAGTACGCTGGACCACCGATGAGAAGACTCTATAAGATCTGGATTTCTCGCGTGGATGATATCTATCAAATGTCACACAACCTCGAAGACTTGCAGGCGAATAAACGAATAAACTGTAAAAAGAGATAGGCAGTGATGACTGGACAGCAGGTGAACACAGAGGACAGAGGTGATGAAGATAACCGACCAACCATCAGCAACAGAAACAACAATCAGCACCAATCTCCATCAATGGGAGAATTTTAACAGGGGTTATCTCCTTCACTTATCTCGGAAGAATCGTTTCAACTAAAGGCGGAACGAATCAAGTTGTAAAAGCCAGGAGGGATCGGAAAGGTAACGCCTTCATCAACCTGAAACCAGTTTAGTAATCTTCTGCGCTGACTCAGAATAAGGAACACGATTCGCATTTTCAACACGAATGTCAAGTCGGTCCTTCTACACGGGTCAGAAACACTGCTCGTGGGTCAGCAAAAGGATTTCCAACAGGCTACTGCAGATTCGGATCACACAGCTACCCACTTCGCTGGCTGGCTGGCTCCATACTCAAGATCAAGTGGTCAGCCAGAAAGAATTAGTGACAAGAAATTGTGACTGAGAACAAACCAACAGATGAGAGCCGATCTCTCAACAAATATGTAGGCAGAAATGGAGACGCCACTGAGGGGGTTGTCGAATGATATCGTGTGCAATGCAAGCCATCCATCCATGGGAAGTGACGAGTAGGTCGTCAATATGAGGGTGACATGGAGGAGATCGCGTGCTGAGGAGGAGGAGGAGATGACAGATGGTGGGCAGCCGTGGTCCAAACTGAAGAGGACGGCGGAAGATAGGACGAAGTGGAGATGTGTTCTTGAAGCCCTATGCTCCACTTCGAACTCAATACAAACCCTGGATAATCCTATTAAGAGGAACATATATCGTTAATGGCTTTGTTGAACAATATGTCAGGTTGAAGTTAAACAAACAAATTTTTGTCTGACTAAAACAGAATTACCAACCAGATGGAACTAACAAAGGCTTAAACGAGTACTTTACTTCTCTTCTTTTCATTCTTTTATGTTCCGAACGGACACTGCGTCTCAAACTTTCTGAAGTTCCACTGGCAGTGATGCATTTTCGTCCGTGGGGTGGATGGCAGCTTGCCTCATATCGAATCTATTCTCCGCTCCGAGCTCACAAATAGACAGTAAAGTAGGTGAAGGTTTATCGTGCGTCATCCGAGGATCATACCCGCGCCACTTATATAGCTAGTCAGTATTTCACCCCTGAATGCTCCAGTTCAACAGTATTAATAATAAATCGGATAAAAACTACATTTTTTTTAAAAATTCAGCTACTTACCATCTGCATACTCGATAATTCGTTTAACTCCTGCAGATACTGGTGTAACATCAGCACTGACTCGTCTTCTTACCACAGGATCAGTACTAATGGCATCATTTTGACACGGGGACAATGCACACAACGGAGATGATGCCAGTGGTAAATACAATGGGGTATTCAGCTGTTCTGTATCCCAGCCTGAGTGCTTTAAATCATTCTCACTATTACCAGTTGTGTTATTATCGTTGGCAAATACAGTTTGTTGATTCGTTACCCTAGTAACCAGAAAGAAGTAGTTAATAAAAACACAGTTATTCAAATTTAGATTTTTTTAAAACTAATGAATTCTCACCTGGTAGCCTAAAGAACCATTGCAATCCAGCGAGTACTAGAAAGATATCCCAGCTCAGTTTGAGACCCTTCTGGAGTACACACCCACCAAGTTTTGAACCCGGGACCACCCGGTTGTAAAGTAAGCCTGTAGGCCATTCAGCCACCAGGGATCCATTTCAAGAGATTCACAAAGTCCAGTTTCTTATCGATACATACTTCACCAGGTGGACCTTACAGGTGGGGTAGTGGATGTGTACTTTTGAAGAGTCCAAAACTGAGACGAAACAGCTATCCAATACTTCCTAGTTTCCAATGATTCTCTCGAATCTTGGAGAAAAGCAAATTCTTAAAAACCAACGCTTGAAAAATGTAATATATTTGTCAAGTATATGCCAGATTCGTATTCTAATTCACTTCATTAGAAATCGGTAATAGTCACTGCTTTCCATAAATTTACATTCACACAACTATTGTACACCTTTTGGGGAACTGTTTGATGGAAAAACTGTCTTCTGTCACCCTATGAAACAAGTGTGCTACACACGTTTGAGATCAGGTAATTTTTAGTAGCACAAATTGCGTTTTTATTTCGTGTGGTCGTTATACTAGCACGGTTCCCACTGTACTTTTAAGAGTAGTTTGAATTATATGGTTGGAGGCAATCGGCCACAGGAGGCCTTGGACACCGCCTAGGTTTCGTGCTAGTAGGCACTCACCAGTTAGCAAGGCGGCGTATCTGCAAGCACCTTGAAGGAACTCATCTCCCTTCTGAGGAGATTCGAACCCGCGTCACGCAGTTAGTAGTGCAGTCAGAGACGAAGTTGCCCCTGAGCCATTGGGGATCGAGATTGCCCTTCTGTAGGACTAATTGTATTGGATATTTTTGATTGGACACTAGCTAGTAACTAGTGTAATGTTTCTAGTCTTATCTTCGGTACCGATTGAATTCTATCAGTCAAGCTGATGAATGCCAGCTAGCCCGAAACCCTGGGGTCGAACAAGGCTTCCAGTAACCATTGCCTCTAACCATATAATACCAACAATCCACAGTGCACTGTGATGGCAAGCCATCTAGTAGCATGGTGACCACATTGCAAGCTTGATGACGGATAGAATTCAGTCTGCACAGAAGATAAGACTTGACATATTCCTGGTGTCCAATCAAAAGCGGTTTGAATATTAGTCAACCGAAGCAAGACGGACGGATGCTATGGTATCTGTCATTAGTATAATAATTATTATTGTTACTGTAAAAATAGTATTTGTCCCCATACCTAACCAGGGGGACCTTACAGGTATTGGATGCGTATTTTTGAAGAGTCCAAAGGGGGACGAAACAGATGTGCAATATTTCCTAGTTTCTAGTGATTTTGTTGAAACTTGGAAAATAGTAAATCCCTACAAACGTATTGTTTATCATGCAAGTACCATTTGTTATTAATATTCATACTATTACTCTAATAATAAAATTCCCCTGACTTTCATAAAACTTACTGTGTAAATTGACAAACACTTTCATTGTGTATAGAGTGTTTAGCTTTGATTGGTCGTCTTTTAGTTGGTATCATTTTATTGAGCATTAGCTGTCCACTTCTCCTAGGTTGAGATTGATCTTGATTTATCTTCCCCTGTTCATGAATTGACAAGAACAATGAAGGTCTACTTTTGAGCTGATTTGATACGGTAGAGTTCTTTACTGTACTGATTTCGCCAGCATTGGAACCATTGTTACATGGAACTTTAGGTGTAACTGTATTCATCAATGACCAATCCAACAGGCTGACATGTTTACTTCTAATGTGTTTTACACCCATACGAGGACACATTGGACGATTGTGTGATTCATTTGATGACTGAGTTATCGGGCTAACAGATTTTCTCTGAATTACAGGAAGACAATTAGGCATTGACATGTGATTGCTAGGAATATTCGGAAGAAATTCTGATGACATAAATGCGTTTGAACCCTATAGGAGGTAAATAAAGAGAAGAAAATATTTATAATGAATTACAACGGGGTTCGTACCTAGGACCTTGTGGATACAAGGTAAGTTTGTGAACCATTCAATGCTGGAACCTCTTGCCAACCATGCCTCGCGTGGTCTAGGGTTCGATTCCTGACCGGTACAAACCCTCACCTCCCTTAGCTTGTTGTAAACCTGAAGTTTGGGAGTGAGGTTATCAAACCTAGGCCATCGTGGACGCCTATGTTCCAATCGGGTCGCAATGGAGTAAAACAATAGATAAAAACTCACCAGGACTGATGGATGAGGCAAGCAAAACATTTGCTCGTCAGGATTTCATCATGAGCTGACATTGGAAAACCTCGGGTGTGAAGAGAAATACTCGCCTAAGACATTGGGTAGGGGTTGCGCTATGTCATGAATTGGCAGATGTTAGAATTCATGGGCCACTGGATCGGGTCCCAGTGGCTTGAAACCAGGAGGTCCTGGGTTAAAACCCCGGTGGCTGCGTACTGATGAAGAGTCCCAAACTAGGACGAAACAGCCATCCAGTACTCCCAGGTTTTCCAATGCTCCCCTAACCTAAGTCAGCCCATGATGAAATCCTGTAGCCAATCAAATCCCTACAAGCCAAGTTTCCTCGACAGTTTAAATACTCTTATATCAAACTGGAGAATGGAGATTTGAGTGAATTTATTGACAAATATTGCCAGTTTCATACTTATTTCAAAACATCGAATATCACAAAGCACATTCCAATACAAAATTTGTCCTTATACAACTTTTCCCGTCCTGTATTAATACCGTGGAAATAGCAAAAATACTAATTACGTAAAATCCAGCAAACTGTTTATCCAATTAATACTTTTATAATGAATAATGACTATAATTTTTAGGAATATGTGATAAGGGGTGGTGGGAATACTTAAATATGCAATTAGCGATTAACTGAAATCACAGCCTGACAACACTAAGTAGATATGAATTGATATCCATGTACTTTTATGATCCTATCTCTAGGCGAACAAGGATTTTAATAAAGGTTAAACAATTAGCAACTATGAACTGATTCAATGCTTCATGGATTCTAAATTTTACCAATTCATGATTTAGCACGATCCCAACCATTGTCGTTGGTGGGTCATCCATCCACACACGTGACATCTAATTGGACCTCCCTGGTCACAACTTCTCACTTGAACTTCAAGAAACTCCATCCTGTAGCAAGCCATTAGCGAGCATCAGATTAATTTTCTATAAATAATTTGTAAGGGTTAGTTTTGCTTTTACGAGTTGATCACGGATTGATATCAGTTAGAGAACCATTGAAAACCAACCACAACTGAGTACTGGACAGCCAGCCGTTTCATCAGCCTAGTTTGTGAATCATCTGCAGTACGCACCCACTAGGATTCGAATCCAGGAATGGTATACGAGCTTGCCTTGTAACCGGAAGGTCCTGAGTTCGAACCCTGGTAGTGGATGCGTACTGCCGATGATTTCCAAACTAGGCTGATGAAACGTCTGGCTGTCCAGTACTCAGTTATGGTTGGTTTTCAATGGTCCTCTCTAACTGTTATCAATCCGCGATCAACTCATATATATATATATATATATATATATAAACTGAGTTCCTAAAAGTGAAGTAAGACTGGAGTGTCATTTTTTCCTACTTCAGGTCTACTCAACAGAATATATTCCCATAAGGACTAAAGACTAACAGTCTGCAAGGTGAACAGGTGGTATATCTGTCATCAGGTGTCAATATTGTACAATTTATTGGTCTTACAATCAGTCAATGTAGGAGAGCATACATTTTTACAGGATCCTATGTAGTAAAGAAGGGAAGAAGAACAAGCTACCCAATGCTCCTTGATCTACAGTACTCTGTAGTTGGAAGCACTTCACTATAGAAATTACCTGAATCAATAAAAAAAAGCAGAGATGCGGGATTTTCAACACCATAATGTTCAATCAATCAATTCTTCTGGATGGCTTAGAGACTGAACACGTCATGGAATGCATTTCCATGAAGTTATTGTAGACCTTCATCAACAGCTGCCTTCATCCCATATTGAAGATCAGATCAGAGGACTCTGGGAATGAATCTACCAATAACCTAATACCAAACAGATTACACCGAAGGATATAAAGAAGGATGGGATAAATGCTGAGAAGACCATTTATTGACAACATGCGCCAGACAAGCCCTCAAGTGGAATCAGTATGAACAACAACCAGATGGGCATCCATTTCGACAGTGACATGAAGGGAATCATGTGAGGAGAAGATGAAATGTCGGGTAGAATCCTTTGGCTGGCTAAAAAGAACTTCGGAGAATAGGATGAAAGGGAGAAATGTTTCTGTGGCTCTTTTTTCCACTGTCAAGGCAACGGAACAATGTGAATCTGTGATCAAACTCGTAAAAGAAAAAGTAATCCTTAAAAACTGACTATAGAAAATTGATCTGATGTTTGCTAGTGACTTACTACAGGATGGAGTTTCTTGGTGTTCTAGTGAGAAATTGTGTCCAGTAAGGTTCATACAGTCAGAAGTGAGAATGGATTTCCCACTGATGACATTGGATGCTGCTAATCGCGCTAAAATTACAAACTGGTAAAAGTTAGAATTCATGGGCTACCGAATCGGGTCCCAGTGGCTGAGTGGTCGTCGGTGGCATAGCGGTTAAGACTCTCGCCAACTATGCATATGGTCCAGGGTTCGATCCTCTGCCGACACACCTGATATCTATGGTCAGCCTTCAAAATTTGGGCTACCAATATCATATGATGAAAATTTTATGCTTGTATCGAAAATACGGTGTGGAATCAAGCTATAATCGAAAATTTTAAGCAAATACGAGTCAGCTTGCCGTGTAAGCGGTAGGTAGTGGGTTCGAACCCTGATAGCGGGCGTGTACTTCCGATGATTCCTAAAAACTAGGATGAAACAGTTGGCTGTCAAGTACTCCCTGGCTGGTTTTCAATGGTTCTCTAACTAATGTCAATCCGTGGTCAAACTGGAAAAAAACCATAATAATACGTCAAAACGCGATCTAAATAAACGCTTAACAGTTAAGTAAAGAAATTTCGCTAATCACCAATCAAAGTTAATACAATCTTTAATGAACTTACCAATTGGCTTCGGAAAATGCAGAGTTACAAATCGAATTTAATCTTATATTGCAAAATTAATTCGTAATCCGCAAACCAATATGTCTGTGACAAATTAGCAGAAAAAATTGCGTAACAGCTGTTACTGATAAATTTATATTTATATGCTGTAATAATAGGTGGATTGCGTAACAATGTTATCCTGGAGTTCAAGTGTTGGTTTGTAGGGATTTGATTGGTTTCAGGATTTCATCATGAGCTGACATTAGTTAATTATCCTGGAGTGCTTACCTTCCATAGTGAGACAGGAAAGAGATTGGATGCAACAATTAGCGACATGCCTTCGAAATTGAATCTGATTGGTTGAATGTTTAATTGTTCATGGTGAAGGGGGTGAAATCTTTACCCAATAAATATTTAGTATAAATGATGATGGGGTGAGAGATTTAAAAAAATTGCAGCTAGATAATTGGACAGTGTTCATAATGTGACAAGGTCAGCTAGGAGGGGGAGAGAGAAAATAATAAATATTGTTATTCAAGTGTTGGTTTGTAGGGATTTGATTGGTTTCAGGATTTCATCATGAGCTGACAGTAGTTAGAGAACCATTGGAAAACCTGGGGCTTCAGCAGTACGCACCCACCGGGATTCGAACCCAGGACCTTCCGGTTACAAGGCGAGCTAGCTCGTATACCATTAAGCCACTGGGACCCTATCCAATGGTCCTTGAATTCTAACTTCTGCCAATTCACGACATAGAGCGACCCCTAGCCAATGTCTTCGGCGAGTATTTGTCCTCACACCCGACCAGCTGCACCCTTCTGGTCGCGACTTCCCACTGGAACCCAGTACTTCAGAGTCCCAAACTAGGACGAAACAACTGTCCAGTACTCCCAGGTTTTCCAATGGTTCTCTAACTACTGTCAGCTCATGATGAAATAAATATTGTTTTATCATTCCATACTAGGCATGAATATATGGATAAATGCTTTTACTTTCAAGTGTTGGTTGTGTAGGGATTTTGTTTGATTGTATGGAGGACTCTTCATCAGTACGCGTTCACTGCTGGGGTTTGAACTCAGAACCTTTTGGTCTACAAGCTTGCCTTGTAACGAGAAGTCCCTGGGTTCGAACTCAAGCGGTGAGTGCGTACTCCTGAAGAGTCACAAATTAGGATGAAACAGCTGTCCAGTACTCCCAGGTTTTCCAATGATTCTCTATCCAATGTCAGCTCACGATGAAATCCTGTAACCAATCAATCAAATCCCTACAAACCAACACTTGAAAGAGAATTTAGCTATGTTAGCAATCTAAGCTGACATAAGATGGATCAGGTTGAAACGAGAGAGAGAGAGCTAATGTTGGTCAAATTGAAACATGGCCTCGTCAGCCAACCAGCTAGTCACGTAGGGGGGGTGTAGATTACCTGACTGGTTGGCATCCTTGGAATGGTAAGAACCAATGGAGGGTGGAGACAATTGTCGATATGGCTGAAAATCCTCGTTGTCAATGGCTGGCGTAGATGCATTCACTCTTTGTGATTTATTATGTCGAATAAAACCCTCCCTTTCACTTGAGAACGCTTTGATGCCTTACAGAAGGAGACTTTTAGGGATATGCTTGGCGATTCTAGTAGACGCTCTCCTCTCAGTCCTTGCTATATATTTGCTGTAAGTGAATTGGTAAATGCACTTGGGGTTGACATGCAGAGCAGGATACTTATTCACTTATGACTGGGTTAACTAGCATACTGTTTTGGTAAAGTTGATTGAGTCTAGCGGGGTGGTGGGGCGGTAGGAGGAATTGTTCTTTGCAATGCATCTTTGATTCTGTTTCCCGTTGTTATGGATACCTCTTCGCTTTTGTACTCTAGACAAATAAAAAGTGGTTCCTTTTCTCAACTGTATCGGATTTCGGCATAGGTAGTTTACACTTTCCATATTTTGATATGAACTTCTGAGGGTATCCATTTTCGATAAGGGAATTAGTTAGTTATATCATTCTCTCAACTAGCTTATATGACTGTGGATGGTTTTCTAAAGTCTTGGTAGACACGTATAAACTATTTGTATGTTAAATGTAAATGAGTTCATTTTTTGGTAAACCCTGCACTGAAGATGTTGTCTAGTTGGGGAACGACGAAAGCTTCACAATTAAATCCAATCAACTACCTCAGAGGACACAACTAATTGCGACTCATCCACCTGAGCTGCAAATCTTCTCTATCATATCTATTTCTAAACTTCACCTAAAATGCTGGTTCACAGCAAGTCAAGAAATCGGGGGACGGTGGGTGTTTCTTTTATTCCTTTATGTCCCTCTCCCCCAGTGAGACATAGGGTGGCTTCAATCTAGAGGCTTGAAGTTTCTCTAGCAGCTGTGACCGTTTTTATAGGATGGGATTGCTAGCCAGCCTCATGTACCCGCAACCTTCCCTCTTTACCAGTCTTATGACTGGCTTAGACAGGTAAAGTAGTGCGCCAGTGACTGGAGATCGAACCCCGGACCACCTACCTGCATAACAGGCGACTATTCTACCACTGTGCCACCGAAGTTGGGTGTAGAACTGACCATTTTATCCTGTAAAAACCACCAACACCGTTTCACTGAAACTTCAAAAACTGAGAGGAATTACGAATAATTAAGATGTCACTGAGCCTCTGTTCATTTTTGTGCCATCACTACGGATAATTAAATTGAAATAATTGATGTGCAGATGATCCATCATGGTAATTAATACCCCCCGCCTCCCCCTTTAATAAGTGAACAGTATTCACTGCGCCCAGTAACTATGAGTCGCGTTGACTCATGTCAAAAATATATTTCATCAGACAGCAAATAACGTCATCATTTACAGTTGATTTACTCAATCGCTTTAACCTTACTGATAGTATACTGTACTCATTACTAGGTCATGACGTCATACACACAAACACTTGGATGTTTGTGTCACCCTGACATTAATTTTATCCATTAGAAAACCAAAAAGAAAAAATCAGTTATGTAATTAACAATCTGTTCATTGTATACCACAGTTGACGATACACAATCAGATTGCGTGACATTCATTTGAAGACGAATGCACTAGCGATCAATACTGAAGACAGAAGCTAACAGGATTAATTAAAGTTGAAAGGTTGGAATTCGGAAACAAAAACACAGAACTCCTGAAGTTATTCCTATGACTGCTAATGGATTTTATAGGGATATGATTTGATTGGTTGGTTGGTTGGAAGTTTTGCTGGGTTCGAACCCTCGCAATGGCTGTGCTGCACAGACAAAGAGTCCCAAACTAGGCTGACGAAACCATAAGTTGTCTTGCAGTACTGCCTGCCTGGTGATTTTCCAATGGTTCTCTAACTGATGTCCGTTCATGATGAAATTCTCAAACCAAATAAGAAAGACACTTATATTTTGTTCAGAGAAGATGAACCAGGAAGGATTCAGTAATCAGCCTGTCTTAGAATTTTAACCCTCTCCCCGAGAAGACAAGTAATTTAGAAAAAACAAACTCAGTCATCACGCTGCATACATGCATTAACACATGATCACACAATAGGGTGGGTGAGGATTAACATTGTAAGAAGTAATCTATGTAGGTGGAAAGAGGGAGAGGTTGATTACCGAATGCTGCCTGGTTCGTCGAGTCTACAGCCAACACATGCGCAATAGAAGTGACTCAACGCAAATACCAGAGATATGAAAATATATTATTACCACCAGTCAGTCAAATCAGAAGAGGATAATAAATAATCTTAAATTGTATTCTATTTCAGTTCAATTCACGTACATCCCAACATTCTAACAAGGTACTTATTTATTTTGGCTATCAAAACACTCGTCTTATTTCCCATCTGATTGTAATTGATTGATAACACTCATATTATTACTATTTCTGAATGTACATTATCCTATATTGATTTTTATTCAATCAAATGTCTAATCATCAATTTCACTCGTGTATATAAATGAAGGAAGAAAGTTGTGTGAGTGAGTGAGCGGCTTGATATGATTATGAGCAGTAATAAATTGTGCTGGAAAGGTGGTCGTATCAGTTACTATTACTGTATAACACTACACTGTGTGACAGTTTATCAAAATGAAATCTTATCTATAATGAAACTAAATGAGTTGACTTTGAATATCACTTGGAACACCATGAGTCATTTAGAATGCAGTTATATCTTGCTGATAACCCCTAAATAGGACGAAATACTCACCCTAAATTCCCACTGTTAGTCACTTCCAATCAAAGTAACTTCATTTTTTCTGGTTATACACAGACGACCGATCTGTGGGTGTATGATTGTGGACTTGTTGATGGGTTATGAGTGTGAAAGCAGAAATATTGGAGAAGTGTCATCGTTCAAGTTGATGATTTCGATAGGTTCACGTTCTCTAAGCACATTGACTTAACTGTAATATCCTCCATTATGTGTCTCGAAGACATCTTCTACGCAGACTTTATTCACTCATGGAAATTCCACTTCATTTTGAAATTTGCACTAAAGATGCTTCCTAGGAAGACAACGAAAGCTTTGCAAGTGTAGATCAAGCGGCTCTGAGAGAAAAACAACTGTATCGAAAAGAATGAAAAGAATATAGCCAATCTTGAAAATTTTAATAACTAATAGCCCCCGTAAAATGCTATCTGAGGTTTACGTAGTCACCTAAAAGATAATGGCATTATATGAATCGGATCCCAGTGGGTGAATGGTATACGAGTCAGCTTGCCTTGTTACCGGAAGGTCCTGGGTTCGAACTCCACGTGGTGAGTGCATACTGCTGATAATTCCCAAAAACTAGGCTGATGAAAGAGCTGGTTGTCCAGTACTCCCCACCAGTTGGTTTTCAATGCGTCTCTAACTGATATCAATCCGCGATCAACTCGTCAACAAACAAAACTAACCATTACAAACCAAACTATAGAAAATTAATTTGATGCTCGCTGGTAACTCGCTACAGGATTTAGTTCCCTGGAGTCAGTTCTAGTGAGAAGTCGTGACCAGTGACGTCCATCCATATGTCACGTGTGAGGATAGATGTCCCACTGACGACATTGGTTGGCGCCAGACGCACTAAATCACGAATTGGTAGAAGTTAGAATTCATCAACTGGCCATTGAGCT